AAGGGGTCGGAAATGTGGAGATATACGGTGCCGCATGGCTGCCGTCTCTGCCGCTATTGATGTTTCCAGCTTGATTAGGTTCCGACGGAGATGTGTATAAGTAGGTTACAATGTTGCCTAGCGCTGTGTTGATTGCAGCATTTGGATCTGGGATAAGATTTATGAAAGCTTTGGACCCCGGCTGGGTAAGGTCCTCCAGATGTAGCCGGAGTTTGGGGGTAGGCTGTGGCAGGGAGTAAATTCCTTTCGGGCTTGGGTTGGCGCTGTCTACTTCATTGGCCTCAATGGTGCCGCCCTCGTTTATATAATCGCCAGGGATTGGAGAGGAGCTGGGGGTTAACTGAACCCGGGAGCTCGATGGAGTGCGCATGGTTGTCAGAGTCATTTATGGGTGGTTACGGGAATGCTGATACTGTAATAAAATTGACAAGGCACATAACTACGAGGTATATGAAGACACCCGTGTGTTTGGATATTGGACTTGGAAACAGGCTCAGAGACGTTGGCGTGCATATTTGGTACATCGTAAATAAAACCAATTCGCCATCTCATTCTTGTCGATGCCATCTACTTGAACGACATGTATAACTAAAGATCATGGCCTTGTTCAGATAACTGGTAAGTATTAAATATAAATAAAGAATAAACTCTACTCCTTGAAACTTTAAATGCCAAACTGGTAAACCACGGTTCGAGCATGAAAGTCAGTATTGTTTACAACACGAGCTTACCCAGTATCCTTTGCGATTTTGCTAGACATTCACATTTCTCCTACGCAGTACATCCTACATACGTAGAATAAGACGGGTACCAAATCCGAACCTCACTGTCAGTCAGTATCAGCGTCAGCGTTCCTCACGGAATCGTGAGCAGGAGTGCTCGGGTGTTTGGTCTGGCAGTGGATTAGGCCTAGCGCAGGCGGCTTGCGGTACCGCCAAGACAACGGGGTTTTGGGGGCAGCGAAAACAATCAAGTTACCCTTTCCGGCAATGGTCTGGCGCACCTTCGTGTCTTCCTCGTCGACTCCATCGCCGTGTCTCTTCTCCCGTACCAGCGCTGTTCTCTCTACCAGGCTACCTTGTGTGCATCTACTGCGTCAGATCCAGGTAAGTACTGCTTCTTCTTCATGCGTCATTGTCAGCCCCCTTTCGCGGTTTGACAGGCCCAGCTGTGCCCGTGGCCTGTGCTACTACAAGGGTCTTCCCCTCCTTCGCTTTTACAATCACGACCTATTTACTCCAAGACCGTGTGGGTTTCATCCGTTGTCGCTAATAGAATTGTTCTGCTGCAAATTGTTAGGGTCCACACGACATCGTGATCTTACTTCGAACCCCGTCTCTTGGGCGCTTAGAATACTTTCTGCCACCGGTATCTAATTGCCAATTTGAGCTTGTCTACAAAAGGGGAGCAGATAGTCCGGTGATATTGCACATAAACTCTCTGCCCTTGGTCTGGGTATATCGGTATTCGCAACACCCTACATAAACTTCCTACCAAATGAGCATTGTTGTCAAAAGATCTTGACAATGGAAGCTAGAGCCACTGAGGTTCTAGCTGCACTGAAAAACCCCAACCTCTCCGTCGAGGCGAAAACACAACAGCTCACAAAGCTCAAGTCGGAAATAAAACAGAAAAATGTACCTGAGGTCGCCATTTCCACCGTGTTTGAGGCCGTCCGCTATGCGCTTGCATCACAACACTCGTCTCTTTCCGCAGGGGGGTTCTCTGCCTTAGGCCATCTCCTCAAGCGACTTTCCCTCCAAGATCTCCATCAGGCTATCGCAGCTCAAGGCCGCTCCACTTACCCACTACTCCTTGAGCGATTAGGTGACCATAAAGAACGCGTTCGCTCACAGGCTGCCCAAGCCTTCAGTGACTTCTGGCAATCTGCCCCCGTTGAAGTTGAGCACCATGTCCTGGAAATTGCGTTGGTGGGGAAGAATCCTCGAGCAAAAGAAACTAGTATGACATGGCTAGCGACTGTGAGTCTATAAGTCACAGTGGAGCCTGCCTGATGTGACATTGCCCCATCTGCTAACATTTCTCCTCCCTTTTGTAGATGACTCGTAACCGTGGGCTGCTCTTCCGGACATACGTGCCAAGCCTTGTCGCCTGCCTCGAGGATGCTGATAGTGGAGTCAGGGAAACTGCAAAAGCGACCGTTATCGATTTATTCCAGTATGCGATCTCCCTGAATAAGTCCCTCTAATGTTCTAGATGTTAATGTTGTGTTGCAGAAATGCCCCTCCTCGAGCACTATCGGATTTGAAGAAACAACTTCAATCACATAATGTGAGGAAATCGATAACCAACTCAATCCTGTCTAGCATTGGCGTCGATCAAGATCTTTCCTCTTCCATGCAATCCCAGCCAAGATCTGATATCTTGAGACCCGAGAGCAGTTTCTCAAGCCACCGAGAACCTCAACGTCCCAACTCTGTTCTATCAACCCGATCTATTTCGAACGGCGAAGCAGCAAGTAAGGAAGCTAGCATGGCATCAGATTCTATCCATGGCGGTATGAACCAATATCAATTCGTTGCGCGTTTTACTAACATATATTCCAGACCCCCCGAAACCTCCCCGAGGGGATCCGCCGCGGAGAGATGCAGTGTTATCTCATAGCGTCAGCGTCGAGTCTTTCCCCACTGTTGTTGGAAACGCCGAAATTGTTGAAGTAGAAACTGTGGACCCGCTTTACCTCAATTCTCATCGAGAACTGGACGAAATATTTCGCGAAATGCTGCCTTATTTTGAAGGCAGGGAATCGGAACAGAATTGGATCCTCCGTGAGAAAAGTATTTTGAAATTGCGGCGGATAACAAAGGGCAATGCCCCAACCGATTTCCAACATAATTATTTGGTTGGTATCAAAAGTGTACTTGACGGTATTCTAAAAGCCGTCAATTCGTTGCGGACTACACTCTCAGCGGCCGGCTGTAGCTTAATTCAAGATATTGCCCGAGCAAATGGCCCAGCCATTGATCCAATGGCTGAAGTTCTCTTGCAGAATATGATTAAGGTGTGCGCAAGTCTGAAAAAAATTAGCGCTCAAAACGGCAATCTTACGGTGGATGCTATCATCGGCAATGTATCCTACACGTCTAGAATTGTGCAACATCTTTGGCTTGCATGTCAAGACAAAAATGTTCAACCTAGGTTGTTTGTCACGGGTTGGATACAAACTTTAATCATGAAGCACAGCGGGCATAGAGGATTGATCGAACATAGTGGGGGTGTTGATGTCCTCGAGAAATGTATCAAAAAAGGACTGGGAGATGCGAATCCTGGAGTGAGAGAAAACATGCGTTCAACTTTCTGGACTTTCGCGAGAATGTGGGCTGATAGAGCAGAAGGGTATGTATCGAACAGCATTCTCACCTTGGTAAGACAGCTTTACTGAAGTCATTTAGGATCATGTCCACAATGGATGCGAAGTCCAGGTCTCTTCTCGAAAGGGATCCTGGAAATCCAAATCTTGATGCTAATTCCTTAAATACCAACGGAAGACAGCGAACAGGCATGGGCAATAATGGACCAGGGGGGGGCTCACGACTGACACTCAAGGAGACAATCGCTGCCCAGAAAAAGGCTCGTTTGGCTGCAGCGAAAACAATACCTGCTCGCCCGGAATCTGCCCAGTCATCATTTCCAGATTTGAAATCATCTAGATCTTCCATATACCGACAACCTGGAACAACCACTCGTACCGTTCCTACCGGGTCTCATATTTCGTCCCAAAATACTCTCTCTCCTCTGCACAATGCGTCTCATCAGACCCGGCGGCCGAGCTGATGCGACCTGCCACTGCCGACCCATATTCATCTCGTAATAGATCTGTTCATAGCTCATCCCAGCAGAAATTATCAAGCCCCTCAGGAAGCCCCCAAAAACCTAGGAGTAAGACCACAACATCTACTCCAGGAAGAAGCAATCCAACGCCTCTCCGTCCTAAGTCGAGACTTGACACTAGTGCGCCTGTAAGCACTGCGAAACCAAAACCCAAGCGACTTGACATTGCTGGGCTTAAACCTGGCGAAGCCCGTTTAATGGCAGGCCCCGCTGGTAAACCAAATTACGCATCTTCTGTGGATCCCAAACCGCTAGCTGCAAGCCCAGCTAGGCCAGGGGAACATCTACCTGTTGTTTTACTGCAGGATGACAATAAGAATACGGAAATTAGCTCTACCAGCTTTGCTTCGGATGCCGAAGTTTTTACTGAAAACAAAACCGATCTTATGACAGAACTCCCTACACCTGGATCTTTGGTGATGTCCCATGGTACCCCTTCAAGCCATCGCCGTTTGAGCAGCAGCGACACCTCTGTTTCTCGCATCCCAATGTCACCACCTTTCCAACCAAAAGTCCATTCAGAGGAATGTTTGGCTGTGACGTCCAGCCCCAACAGAAACTGTTCCAACAATAATGATAATATTGCGCCTAAGAATGCTTCTGCTGGTCGATTTTCTTTACCTAGCACTGAAGTTACCTATTCTGGAGAAACCCTCAAGGTGTATGAAGATCCTCAGTCTCCAAATGCGAAGGAAGATGTTGCCCATCCGGAACCATTTGGAATCTCTCCGAGGTCTCCTATCAAAGCCAATCCGCTTGAAGAACTCCCAATTAATGAACCGGCGAACACGCCAAATCGAAAATACAATGGTCAACAGGAGCCCTCAGGTTTCTCACCTCCGACTAGCGTCGCTATGCCTGCAAATGAAAATTTGCACCGGCGATGGAAAAAAGTGGAGATCTCAGAGAGGCGAAGAAGCCTAAGCCCTCGATCCAAAGACCCATCACGGGGGCGAGATATGATTGATAGGGGACTTAATAAAATTCGGACAGGGGCTATCGATGTGCATGGATACCGGAAGGTACAGAGTTTAATCAAATACCATCAATCAATATTTAATGACGAAGCCAAGTATGGTGAAACATTAATGGTGTTGTTAGACGCCCTCGAGGTGCCAGATGCAGATAAGAAATCAGCAACCGGTCGACAATTGGATCTGAAGACACAAGTATTAGTGACTATTCGTTTGTTGTTCTCGATGAATCGTGGCTATTTTTCGAAGTACTATGCCAGAGCCATGACGGCAATTATTACGGCACGCAAACACTACGAACTTACCAACCATATCGTCAGCGGTCTCGAGGAAACAGCTGAGGATATCGTTCAAGCATGTGAGCCTGCAGATGTCATCGATGCAATCTTGGGTCTTCTCGAGTTCGAAGAGAAGTCCCCTGACAGCCATCGCATGATTGCCATGGGTGGATATATCCTCAGCGGGCTCCTACGCCGGCTTAACGAAAAGAACCTATTCCTCAGTGAGCCGGAGTTAGAACGACTTGGCAACTTCGCAAATCAGAGCCTCATGGATCCCCAACCAGACATTCGCCGAGCTGTGATGGAGTTCTGCCTGGAGCTTCACGAAATGGTCAAGCCGGAAGAAGCCTTTTGGCGCATGATTAAGTCTGAAGAGCATCGTCCGTTGCTGACTTATTACATCGTGAGAAAGCCTGGAAGATGATCTCGAAATCAGATACAGATTTTTTTAACTTGTTAACGGGACGAAACCCTTTTTTTTGGTTTCCTCTTGCACTTGACTATTCTCTATCAACTCAATTTTTTCACTTCCGGTTCATCTTGCTACAAGAACCCTGTTCCTTAACTGTCGAAATTCCTTTCTTGTTGTCTCCCTTGTCTGAATTGCTGTACCGATCGATGTAGCCCTGGTTTTACCATTATGATTGCTTTTGCTAGCGTTACATCGGAGTACGCGTAGTGATGCCCGCTTTCTTTCTTCCTCGTATACCTATACCTCCTCTTTCCCCTATTCTTCAACTTAAATTATTTTTTCTTTCCCTTTAAAAAAGCAAATACTGTAGTAGTATATCTTTTTAATTGTATATTTGATTTTGTCCCTTCCTCCTTTCCTTTTTTCCATTTATTCTTCTTTATCTTCCTTGTCCCTTGTGGGCTTTGCTCTTTTACCCACCTTTTTTTAGTATTACAACTCAGGGACATTGTTCTAATCCTATTTCACCAATCCTCCCGAACTATTATTTTAACTATGGGGAACTTTTAGTTCTTAGCTTGTTTGTATCTATTTACCATACTTTTAATGTGGGGGACCACATAAAGCAGTGTACTCTCAATTTGGCTTACAAAAGATCTTAATTATTTTATTTCTATTTTTTTTTTCACTGTTTCCTAAAAGTCAATGGCTTGGTTTTCTTTTTTCTTCTTCTTTTCTTTTCCTGGGAACTCCTTATGTTGGGGTAACTCTGCTAGATCTACGATCCGTACATCTTGGTGTTGACATTATCATTATCTACGTTCAAGAGGCCGTCCTGATAAACTTGGATCACCACTCAGGCATTTGTTCAACATATATATTCTATTATTCCACCTTGATACGATAAAAAGCAAGCAAGGACAACCATAGTAAATATCATCAACTACTACACAGCTCGTTGAGGATTCTGAAAAGCAGTGCAGATCGGTATGTGCTTCGATGACATTATTTTTTGACACTTTCAACTTGAAGATTAGATGAAAGAGAGTAGCATTACACATTGAACTGTCCGTGCTTTATCGCCACCCTGGTTTATGAAGCGTTGTTGGGAGAGGGCGGGCGGTCTTCACATATGGTTCAATGGGGAACACTACCAGTATTTTAAGATCGGGACCATGACTGATCGAACAATGGGGAGCGGGAGGCAATGCGGCGGCATTTGTTACTCTTTTCATTTTTAATTTCTGGGGGACCCCGGAAAATATATCAATCCAGTGTTTCCATTTTTGGATATTGGATTTGGTTTCTTTCTCAATCAGTACAGCGTATAGCTAGCTGCCGGAGGGGCTGGTTGAGGGAGAAGGGCTGTGATATTTCTCCCGCATCTTTTCCACTTCAAAAAGTGGAGATGGGAGGAAGGTATTGGGCTTGTCGAGAGTATATACAGTATGCCTTCCACGAATTTCCGCAGTTACGACCGTCAACTCAAATACATGTAATTCGGATAATAGTCAAGTTAAAGAACAGGATATCTCGAAGGCATATTCCATGTCTAGGGCTTGTCGTGTTTGGCCATAGTTTTAAGCGTCGTAGGTGAAGAGTTAAGTCACTACGGACATTATCAGATCGTGTCAACTTCTTCGTACATTAATGTTTGTCATTTTCACATGGGTCTTTGGAGATATACCTTGGAAATAAGAAACAGGGTAGTGGAAATACGGGGCTGGGGTATTTCGAGACATTTAAACTATCGTCTGAAGGTTTTTCTCGGGGTGTTTTACGAAACGAAATTTGCTGGGATGATGGACGGAGGCTGGCTGGGAGCCCCGGCGGTGTTTTGAGAAGATCCCCCGCAAGTGGCGACTACAGGAGATCGAGTCGAGGACCTGTTGTTCATTTTCTCAATCGAAGATGGGCTTCAGGTTAGTGGAGACTGATGGTCAGAGCTTCTTAGGGGTGTTTCGTCGACGCGGGTACGGGACTAGAGACAACCATCTAACTAGCTGGTTGAGGATCTGTGTTCTTCCAACTCCCAAGTGACTTGATCGACCGCCCAGAGAATTGGCTGGCAGGTCTCTCTGCCGTGGTGAAGATGTTTGACAGAAAACCAAATATGCCAGAAGGGGGAGAGTAGAGTAATTAATTACAGTTGGCTGTTTACTGGTTGGGACGAAGCTGAAACTTGGGACTTGATCCTGATAATTTATGTTAAGGGGAACGTGTTTGAGATAAGCTTCAATCTTCTTGCAGTTGCTGTTCCTGGCTCAACCGACAAAGTGTGGGCCTGATTGTTCAGGAGGAGCTTCAGTTTTGTTCCTATCGAGTCCTCTCCCCTGTAGCTATCCACGCCGAACGACACAGCATTTTCGCTTGTAGGGAACTTTACTCCTAGTTAGTAGTGTAATAATAGGGTTTGTTCTGCACGTTGTCAATGCCATGGCTTTCTGGCCATTTGACTTCCTGACAATAATACGGAGAACGGAGGGGGAGGATTAAAGCGCCCGATGTTTCCCCCCTTTTTCTGGGTCGAACAAAGGGGGGATTGCCTGTCACTACGCAGACTGCTACATTTCAGGTACTTTTGGGTGCGTGTGTGCTGAATTGTTTGTTTGCGTGTTTCATTATTCGCAAATTATCAACAATGTGATGATTGCGGGACCGGGATGGCAGCAGGGCAAGCAGAACCCTTGAATATTAAAAAGGCTGATCGAAAGGACCAGTCTGGACTTGTTCCGAAGTCCAAACAGCACAGACGCAGACCAACATGGACTGCGTATGCGCATGCAGAAGATGATTCTCCGCCATTATATGAATGGCTGAAGAAGACAATGCTGCGTATATTCAGCTTCTGAACTGGAACGCGGCCAAATGACGAGAAAGGGCCCTCCTTGACGATATATCAACCCGCCATTTGAAACGTTGAAATTATCCCATATGTGGCTTTTCGTGCGCCATCCCATCCCTGAGGATGTTTCGTTTTGGAGATTGTTGGAACCAAATTCCGTCCTCCTTTCCCTTGAGGTTTTCCTTCCCCTGAAAACAATCATAATAATTACTGATGACCACATTGAGCAGCAAGCAACTGTTTTGAGTTCTGGTGCAGTTAGTGGCGGTTTAGCAGTCGGCCTAGTGGGGCTACTTAAACCCTTGGAGTAGCATCGCGCGTTCCCGTGCTTTGCTCGGTTTTGTTGGCGTTGTAAATTATAATCATTTTATTTTCGTTTCTGCTGCTTGCATCTGACACCTAGCGTGTTGGTCACTGCTCAGGTAGACGGGCATCAATCTCGCACCAGTGTCCCACAGAGAATATCGGGGATTCACAGCAGCCAAGACGTCTTGCCTGACAAGTTGCTCAGCAGCAGCAGCCGTTGCGCCTCTGAAACGTCACCTGTGTATGCATGTTGTTGTAACTGAGACGAAGTAATTAGCGTTTACTCCGTATCAATGAACAGATTTAACTGCAGAAGTAATTAGTTGCGAGAAGCCAAAACGTAATACTTCCACGCACGCAATAAACTAATCTAGCTGTACAGATTAGTCAAGAATCGGTTCGCCGAGTGGTTAGCACGTTGTTTGTTGGTTAGCCTCAACGCTGGGCCAGCATGTACACTTTCTTTTCTTTTCTTTTCTTCTCCCCCTGGATCGCTTCCAACTTAATCCACTCCGCCGCCTGCGCCTAATCTCTGCGATTCAGGCCGCTGAGCGAGAGCCGACGAATTGGCAGCAGAAGGCGGGCTGCATGCCGCCGAATAATCTTACTGCCCTAATCCTGCGTGCTCCCTCGTTTGTTCCCCCCTCGCTCCGTAGAATACCTCCACGTCTTGGTTATTTCTGACATTCCACTCTATCCCCTCCGCTGCCTGGCCTACCGTCGCTGAGAAGACACACCCGATTATCAATTGACATCTTGGTAGGCATCTATCTCGCTTCTTATCTTCTCCACCCAGGTGTTGGACAGTCCCGGCCATCTTCATCTTCCACCAACAGGCCATCAAAAGCCCACCAATCTCTGGCGTGTTTCACATTCCTGGAACTCTCAGTTACCCCGTCTGGTTGTGCCTTGTCTGATCTTTCTTTTCTTTGCTTTTCTTTTTGTTTCGCAAGTGCTTTCCTGGCCGAGTCCTTGAATTATCCGCGTTGCATGTTGCTAACTTGTTTGTGTTGGTGCTGTTGTTGCGAAAGCAGCCTTGCATCTTTTCGTTTGCGTTTCAAGCCCATTCACTTCGTGAATTGGGGTATTTCCAACCAGACTGCTAGGTAGCCTTTTTTATACAATTGTCTATTGTTCTATCTGATCCTCGATCCTGGTAATATTTTGCCCGCCGTTTGTCGTTCGCCTTCACGTCGACCATCTTCGCTTCCCCCACCCTTTCGGAACTCTCCCTTGTTCTATTTCGTTGGGTCCCTCCACCCCGTCGCTCATTGCAACCCAATAGTTTTGATTGAACCCGTTCCTTTATATATCGAAGGGCTTGTATGACGAGCCTTGAAAGAAAGGGAGGACGTTGATCCTTGCTACCCCCGCTATCCGCAATTATCCGTCTTGCATTGCTGGCTGGGTCTGTTACTTGAATGGTTTTGGATATCTGGGTTCACGATACGTCCCGACTGTATACAATACAAACACTGCCACCAGAGTTGGGAAGTGAACAAAGGGCAGTGGCTACCACAATCCTTCTGGGTGGTCTAAAAAGAAAGAACTGAAAGATGGAGTCGCCAACTGGAAATCCTGAGTCTCCTTTGGACGATGACACTCCGATTCCATGCCAGGGCTGCGGTGAGGTATGGTTTTGACTACTCCCCACATCCTAAATTATTTTCAAGCACTTCGCCTTTGTGAGCTATTGGTTCCTCTTTCGCTAATGAGTATGTGAATAAGATTTTGGAAGAAGGCAAAGCGTTCGAATTGGGTGAGTATATATTATCATCCTACCGTTAAACACCATCAATTTGGCACTCCTTGTAAGACATGAGATGAGGAGGCTAACCTTAATTAAAAGCTGGGAAACGATGGCATATCGATTGTTTTCGATGCAACACCTGCGGCACCTTTCTCGATTCGGACGCAAACCTCCTTCTACTCGGCGATGGGTCGCTCATCTGCAATAATTGCACGTACAGTTGCAGCTCTTGTGGAAATAAAATCGAGGATCTCGCAATCCTTACTGGAGACCAGGCATTTTGTGCCAATTGTTTCAAATGTCGCAACTGCAAACGGAAGATCGAGAATCTTCGCTATGCGCGCACATCGCAAGGCATTTTTTGTATGGACTGCCATGAATCGCTGATGGCTCGGAGAAGGAAACGGTCGGCTAGAGCACAACGCCAAAAGGTTCCCAATGTCCAGCTTGATAAGTCCCTCCCGTCACTGCCACCAACAATTGCTCCGAATAGTGGTTTAGCGGAATTGGACACACCCTCAACTGATCCGTCCTCTGACGCCCCGGTTGAATTACCATCCTCTCATCCAAGATCCGAATCGAGGAGGGCCTGCTTAGGCAACGATGTAAATGTTGAATCCACCGAGCCTCAACCCGTTAATCAAGGTGCGCCAGTGGTTCATAATTTTCTCCCAACGTTCTTGTGATAGTATCTCCAACTAACCACTGATGTTGCAATAGACAATCTTATCCTTCCTTCTAGCACCTATAAAAGCAATCGTCATTCGGCTATTTCACATAAAATCTAATACATCCGGCGGGGAAGAGTTTCTGATTCCTGTTGCATTTGATCTTACGCCTTCTGAACCTCACTCCCCTAATCCTTTGTCGGCAACTTCCAATGGCCCGTTACCAGACTACTTTGGCCGGAATGCACCTAGAGAAAGCCCTCAAAAGCAGTCTGTCGACAGACCTGGATACCTGCAGGACACGAGTCACTCCGCCGCATCCTCTGAGCAACCAAACCCGTACGAGGAGAAGGGTCGCGCAGAGTTAGACTCTCACAACCGCCAAACTAGTGCGGAAAACTCCAGCACATCAATTCCAACACCATCCCCTGATAGCAACGATAATATCCGCCAACAGAATATAATACAACAGAAATCAGACCCTGGAGCTGATATGCAGAGCCGTGCAGACAAATTCAAGTTGCAGGATGTCCCCAAAGGCAGAAAGGCCGGGGGCTCTCGGAACGCATCCCGATCCGACCTTAGCCTTGACAACTCGAGCGGAATCTCCTGCGAATGGTGACATTCCTGTGAGCCCGCCACTGCGAGATTCGGCCCGGTCCGCTACAGAACTACCCAGCGCCTCAGAACTAGACGCCACACCTTCCCGTTTTTCACAAGAGTCACGCTCCAGGGAGAATGGGACTACTGAACCGTCGATGTCGGCGATGCAATACCCGCCTAAGAGAGGCGATTCGCTTGAGGCTAAGCTGCACCAATCTCTCCAAAGGAAAGAAGTGCAACATGCTCTAAAGTCTACCCCCTCTACATCTAATAGTACGAATGATGCCACGCCCCCCATATCCTCGAATTTTTCATCTCCCCCAGTGGACAGATCATCGGAGATAAAGGGCCCCAAGCCGTCAGAATCCACAGTATCTAAGCAGGCCTCTGATACATTGCTTTCTGGCTCCTCGCCTTCAACCCACAAGCGTACCGCATCCGGTAATACACCAAAACCGAAACCTTCGGAAAATCGTCGAACCCATTCTCGCGATGAGTCTGTGAATACTCAGCATTCAGAAGATCAACGTGGAGCAGAGACCAGTGGCTCTCCATTGCTGCGCTATAGTGCGATTGGAGATTTCTCACTTGACGAAGATATGGCGCGGATTCTTGGTAGTGACGATGTTCAGAACCAAGAATCATTCCTAAAGCGCGTGTCGAATTCGGTTCGGCATGGGAGAAGCTTTAGCGATAAAGGGGCCCGACTCTCCAGAGAACAGAAATGGCCTAAGTCACCATCAACTACCAGTCACTTGGCGAATGACGTCAGCAGCCCTACTTCCAATTCCCCTGAAAGTCGAGACCAGCTGGCCTGGTATAAGAACGAACTCCAAAGGGAGCGCCTGAATATTATTGAGAGGGATCAAAAAATTTCAGAGTTGGAAGCTTCGCTTAATGCTTCGACAATTATCAAACACGTTAACGCTGAACTTCGCGAGAAACGGTCCACCATGGTATTCCTTGAGGCTCAGAAAGAGATCGTTATGCGAGAGCTGGAAGTCCTTAATGGACACATCTCTGCAGAAAAACAAAGCGGTAATGCCGTTGATCTAGGGAAATTGAGCAATTCCGTCCTCCGCGAGTTTGCGCAGTCTATTCAGCGGCTAAAAGATTCATTTGCCCCTCAGATCGAAGAGTTGATTAAGAAACGAAATGATATACTTGAGGAGCTGTCAAATCTTGGTCGCATGAAGGATAAGAGCTTCCAGGAATTCGAACAGTTGTCCCTTAAAAATTCACAACTTGCAGAGCTTAACAACGATCTAGTCCACCAAATACAAGGGATTTATAAGGTCAATACAATCAGGGAGGGCGGGCGTAAGATCCCCAATGGCCTGGGTATCTACGCCCACCAAAAGGACATATCTGTCGCCTCACTCGATGGTCGGGAACCCAGGCCGTCAAATGACCTTCAAACATCGACTTCCAATACTCAATCCGAGGATGCAGAACCGGCCGCGCTTCTTCAGGGACCACAGGTGGTCAGCATACGAAAGGGCCAGGTTCGCAAGTTCAATTGGAAAAAGGGTGGCCAGAATGTTGCCAAGGGTGTTACTAAGGGCCTCAAGGGCGCTTTCAACTATGCTGAAGGCAAATACCAACAACGAGAAGGCCACTTTATGGAAACAGCCCCGTATGGATCTATATCATCGCAAGGTGGAGGGGAAGGGTCCTCACGCGCTCAAATGCAAGAATCGTCTCGTCAAGGGTTTGGGTTCTTCGGCAACCAGAAGGCTAAGCCTGGCATCTGGAAAGGACCCTCTAATGACAGCACTGTGGCGCTTGTTGAGGTTAATAATAATAGTACTAGTAATGGTGAGAGCTGTCGTGAAGAAAATATCTTTTCACTTGAATTTTTCAGAATGCTAACCATGATTTTTCCCTCAGGACTTTTTGGTTGTGATCTCGAACAACGAATCGAGATTGAAAAATGTGTCATTCCCGGCATCGTCACCCGCTGCATTGAGGAAGTAGAGCTCCGAGGTATGGACCCTTAACCTGTTCATTCACTCTGTTTCACTCAGAAGGCTTCGTTGTAGATGATATCATTAACAACTCTTATCTTCCTACAGGTATGGATTGCGAGGGCATTTACCGTAAATCCGGTGGTAGCTCCCAAGTGCAGATGATCCGAGATGGCTTCGAGAAGTCATCAGATTACGATATCTCTGACCCGGACCTCGACATCCATGCCGTCACCTCAACGCTCAAACAGTATTTCCGCAAACTACCAAACCCGCTTATCACATACGACGTCTATGACCTGCTCCTGGATGCCACTGCCGTCACGCCATCGTCCGTTCGTATAGATGTGATGCGTCGCGCCCTTATGACCCTGCCAAGTGTGCACCGCGACGTGCTGGAATTTCTGATCTTCCATCTCCGGCGCGTCGTGGAGCGGGAGAAGGAGAATTTGATGACGAGTTTGAATGTTGCGGTGGTGTTTGCCCCAACAATTCTGAGACCCGAGAGTTTGAGCCGGGAAATGATCGATGTGAACAAGAAGAACGAGGTTCTGCAGTTTTTGGTGGATAATTGTCAGGATATTTTCATGGGGATGCAGAATTAGTTATATTTCCCTTGATTCCTATTCCCCCCTGTTTTGCTCGTTTTTCTTTCTTTCTATTTTTTTTTTTTTTTTTTCCTTGACGGGACTTGGGAGTTTTAAGTTGATGAGGGTGCTACCTCAAACCATGAATTATCCCTTTTTGATTGGATACTTACTTCCTTTCCTCATTGTCGTTTTTGCCAATATTTCAAATATTTGCTGCATTTTGTCGCAAGTTCGCGTTCATTGCTACTCCATCAATACCAATACCACACACTACAAAGGTTAGCTTGTTTTATACCATCACTCCCTCGAGACCTTGCTCCATTGCGCTCATAAGTGAAGGACCATGCACTCTTATAAATACTGTTTGTTATTATTATCGCTATCCCTTGCTTACCACTTATCTGCCTTTTTCATGGATATATACCCAGTTTCCAAACACACAATGAGATTGTCTTCGCGCACATTTTGTGCCTCCTCTTATCCCCTTCCCCGCCGCTTTTTTCCCCCCTCCACTTCAATTGAGAGCTCGGTTTTCGCCACGGCCCCGTCTTTCCAACTGCCAACCAAATAAATAAATTAAAAAAAGAAAAAAAAAGAGACTCTCACAGCATCGATGCTTAGTGTTTGTAATGATGACGATAACAATGGCTATTATGACTATGACGAGATAAAAAATCCCATTGGAGCCATATATGTGGTCTACGAATTTTTCCCCGACTACATTGATTTTTCTTTCTCATTCGCCAATCTAATACGAATACTCATGGTTAAAGTTTTTTTCCCCTTTGACCTGTTTCCTTCTTTCACTTTCGTTCCCCCCCCGGTCTGGATGCATATTCAAGAATACCCACATACCCTTTTATTCATGTGTGTGTCAAATGGGGCATCATCTAAGAAAGGTCACTTTCCTGGTTAAATCAAAAGAATCTAGCAAAACAATTTATGACTTTACTGCGTATAAGTCTCGTAGAGCCGGTGAAGTAGAAATGCTTAAAGTTACTAAACAGTGAAAGGGGTATCGTAGATATTGAATTTGAGCACAGGTTCCCCTTCCCCATTTTTCCGCTCAGGTATTCTTCTGTTCTCATAGACATATATATATATATAATCATTCAGAAGCTCTCATCTTCCAACCCAGCTGCTCGACGAATGATGCTCGGACTGTTCTCGTACTCGTCCGTGATATCTTCACCGCAACCGGCAGTGTGAAGGAGGTCAGAAACAATTCTCTTGGAGGCTTCCTTGGCTAATCGTATGTTAGATTTGCAGGGCTGGGGTGAGTGGGTATCTCTTTGTGAGGGTGGATGTCATTGACCAAA